TCTTCTTCTTCTTCTTCTTCTTCTTCTTCTTCTTTCTCCTTCTTCTTCTTCTTCTTCTTCTTTTTCTTCGTTTGCCTGAAATAAGTTGTCTATATCACCAGTTTTTGTCTCGTATCTATTTCACCTTGGTATTTAGTTTATTCAGTGGTCCGTAAAGTTTACGTTCCACTGTTTTTCTTTCTGTTTAAAATGTTTCCCCTAAATGGTCATATTCGGTGCAGTTCTGTTGTACGTGTTCTGCTGTCTGGGAAAACTTGCCACATGTACGCATGACTGATTTACCAATTCTAAACTGTGTCTATATGTGGTTGTGTTATCAGTCGTGCCCTTTTCTGAGGGGCAGGATAATGATTTCTTCTGATCTGTTCCTGTTCCATAACTGAGTATCTATTGTTAACAGCTTTGGCCTACTTGACTTTGCACATTATACAAACATCTTAGATGAAAGATATGTGTCACGTAAATACGAATATATGTCTATTCGCCAATGAGGTCCCTTAGCCTCTCTTGCCCTTGTCTAACTAGCTGCTCAAGATGAACGTTGTTATCCTAGTTAACTACATAGAAGGTTGGAGTAATACCCCCCCCCCCCCTACCTTTTCCAGTAGGAAACATCTTCTTGTGTCCTTCTGCTTATGCCGCAAAGCGTCACAGAGAGGACTTATATGTAGTTGCTTGTCTTTCAATGGTCGAACTTCTGCTTTGTATCCTGTCCTTCGTATGTAGTACTAATCTATATATATAAAAATCAATGTTTGTGTGTTTGTTTGCCCCCTATAGACTCGGAAACTACTGAACCGATTTAGCTGAAATTTTCAGGATATGTTTGTTTTGATACTGGATTTTGAACCATCGTGGTTTGAAATTCAACCTGTCACTGTTAGAGATAGGTGACCACAATTTAAGCAAAAATATTCGAAACTAAAATTTAAATTGTTAGTGACATCTAATTATAGCCACGTTAGTAATTGCGCATGCGCCGTAGTCAGAACGCAAGTCTTCCGCTATTCGCCGGCGAGTTACGTGCAGCCAACACCTTCTCTAATAACATAGAGTAGGTCGTGGTACAGCAAACAAGACTATCTCTATATTTGTGTAGGCAGTGATTGCCACAATAACCATATTAAACACGATTTATATTTTCTGTTTTTTTTTTCAAACAGCCTTCGATGGGAAGGGGGATGTGGGGCATCAAGGACTATCACGACGTCGGCGCAGACATTGACTGCGACATTAACTTCATTAACCGTGTTAGACACGTGCGATTTCTATTGTTGTGCCGTTTCATTAATATATCTGGAATATCTGTCTACGAGAAAACAATTGCCTGCAGTTTTGAGTTGTGTTATAATCGGGACACAGTAGTAGTTGGGTCACATATCTCAATAGTTTAGTTTTCTTTTCGCTGTTCCTATGAAGTGGCTGTTGATCGAATGGTTACAACACTGGGTTCCTGTGCGGGAGACCAGGGTTCGAATCCGCAGTAGTAAGTTTTTTTTTACCCCGGACTAAAATAATATCCTTATCTGCTCTGTCGTGGTGATAGCACTAGCCATGTTGCCCTTAATACTAAAAAAAAAAAAAAAAAAAACAAGTAAATGGGTAAACTATTTGATTATTAAATTTGACCATTTCGCATACATATGATTGCATTTTTAAACTTTCCGATTGTATGGCTACGCTGAAATTTCATAGATTTCCATTTATTTTCATTTAGATTTAGTTATTTCATCTGCGTTGGAATTTTAAGCTGTGCTGTTTACCATAGCGTTCATTTCCTAATTATGTTTTTTTTTTTTTTTCTGTTTTCATTTGCTTTTCAAGTGTTTTTTTTTTTTTTTCTTCCAACTACTTCAATGAGGGAAAGAGTTGTCGGTGAATTTTTTTTTGGAGAGGAGGGGGGGGGGGGGGGTGGCAAACTGTTAACTGAGAGAGCTTTAAGTCACAGTAACTGCTTTACCCACTAAAAGTAGCAGCAGCAGTAATAGTTGTGGTTGGGCTGTTACACCGTAGTGCTCTCATGTGAAGACCGCCGGTAAGGTTATGGCGTTCTTCTGTCGGGAAGCGAAATTATACATCCTAACCTGATCAGTCTGTGGCGACAGCACTAGCCATGCGGAACCAAATCTTCTGGCTCACGACTCTCTGTCTACTCCGATGGTAACACAGATAGCAGTGACATTATTTTAGTAGTTGTACTGGTACTTGAAGGATGATGTGGTAAATATTACACTAGCTCCATTCACTACCTATTACAATTCCTGCTCCCCATTTTAGTCCGGATGGACAGGGATGTCAATGTCAGTTACAGCAATAACAAAAATATCGCCAGGTAATGATTTTCAAATCCTTCGAAGAGGGAGAGAGCAGTAGTCGGTGGAAGAGGGGAGGGGGTAATGACTTAAATGTAAGAGAACTTAAAGAGCTTTACACGTGATTTTCAACTTCGTATTACCTAATTTGTTTATATTTTACTAATGCTACCTCCGCTTTTCTATTTTTTACGATTTACTTTGTTATTTACAAGTACAGTTGTAGCTTTACTTCCGTCTCCTATAAAAATACAAACAGCTTTAGCATGTGATAACCAAATAACCATTTTTGTTACTGTGCTAATAACACTATTTAAACGACCAATAATATAAAGACACAATTATAAAGTGCGTGTTCTAAAGTTGGAAAACCAGACTATCTCTATATCTGTGCAGAAAATGATTGCGACATTAACTATATCAGACACGAGCGATTTCCATTGTCTTTCTTTTCCAAAAACCTTTGATGAGGGAGAGAGTAGTAGGTGGATTTAGTTGTGGTGGTGAGGGGGGGGGGGCGGGGATCAAAGACTATCTCTTATCTGAGCAGACAATGATTGTATTAGACACGTGCGATTTCTATTTTCTTTCATTTCCATTTAGCCAAACTATGCCACAGCAACGCGTGGCCGGGTACAGCTAGTATTTAATATTTTTTAAAGTCGACAATATTGCCAACCCATTCGATTCTTCGATGTTCCAAATGGTTTGGTCATCTGGATAGTACATCAAACAAGGTTTCTGGCTTCTGGCTGCTTTCCATGCAGCTTCTGGTACGCCGTATGCAGTAATACGTGTACACCTGCTAGTTTGTCGTGACTGCTGCTTCTATCAGGTGTGAATGGCCCTTCTAGTCACAGACTGTTGCTGTTTACAGCCGAAGTTATATTTTCACCATCAACGTCATAGCATATTGGGCATTCCATTGAGGGCTCAGTCCTCCGATGCAGAATCCTCTCCAGAGAGCCTCCACTGACAGATACCACGAGGAAATCGTTATGTCTTCTATCCCCACTTAGAAGGAGGCATGGGCGTGCTTTACAACGCTTCACTCCCATGTCATGCAATCGGGCTAATGTCAGAAATTCTTCATTGCTGGATTTTACCAGGACTTCTTTCTCACATCTATATGAGGCAATAATGGGTATTGTGGAGTATTTTCAGCTTCACGGGAAATTACCATATAAAGAAAAAGCCGGCAGCTGTTATTTTGGCATCGTGACTAACGATAACCGGACATTTGATAGACCATTCGACTTTCCTTGGATAATGCTGTCAACAACATTCTGAGCTGGGTCGACCTAAAAGATCTTTACCGAAAATTTTTTGTTTAGTTTTCTTTCTCACTTTTCAAGCTGTTATCTAGTTAGCGATTCTAAGGCATATTATGCCCTCTGTAGTGTTACTGCCTTTAATTCGTTGAGTACAAGCAGATTCTAAGAAGATGCACATTGAATAATAAACACAATGAAATAAAATCAATATATTGGTAGCAAAGTGGCAACACATAGGGACTGTAAATTAGGATGTATAGTGCTGCGTGCTGTTTTGGGAGAGTGTAATATTGTGTGAAGGGACAGAGTGGTATCATAGTACTTTCCTGGAGTTCAAGGGGAATAGTGTCAACATTGGCCTGAGTAGTGAGGGGAGAGAATGTTGACCAATAAGAAGTGAAGTGTTCCGTGCAAGTATTTGCTTGAGTTCACGATGGGGGCTGACAAGCATGGCTAACGAGACACACAGAAAAACTATGAATTACGTGACAGCGTGATTGTCATGTAACATCAGCCACCCACATGAGCGTGAGTCCCGAGAACGCCCACATGAGCATGATTCCAGAGAATGCCCACACGAGCGTGCCTCTTGTTAACATAATCCGCCCACATGGATTCGTCAAAAATATATTGGGACTGCGTAGACAGTCCGAGTCAGTGACCTGTAGCCAGAGGGCTAAAGCATTAGGGAAGTGCGGGTGTAGTACACACAAAACACAAGAGTGCTGCGAGTCAGTCAGAGCCCAAGACAGAGAAAGAGAGAGAGAGAGACTAAGTCAGGATCAGAGTCAGTATCTCTTGAGTGAGATAGAGTAGCGAGCAACCGTCAGACAGCTAGATCAGTGTAAGGGTTGCCTGGAAGATACTGGTAAAAAGTACAGTCCTGCTGGCGAATTAAGGCCAAGTGGACTGGATGCTCGAATAGTGACTGTTCTGGGGGACGGCGAAAGGAGACGTAGGATCATCATAGAAACATGGAACGGTGGAGATGTCGACGAGAGGTGTGTGCTAGAGGGGACTTGTGTTAGAAGTCCTCTCAGTTATCGAAGTCCTCTGATAGGCCGATGTGCCGTGGGCACACGCTGGAGATCGAGCAAGTGCAGTCCGTTTTCAGTCAGTCGTTTTCTGCTGAAATAATATCAAGGTCCAGTTGATAGGGGAGTTCGTCTTGTTCTGCTGTACGTCGAGCCCAGAGTTGTAGGACACTGTAGACCTTCGGAGCTGTAGCGGTCAAGGAGAGGTCGCTACAAGTTGAGAGAGAAGAAGTGAGGACTATAGGGACTAAGTTAGAATATCAGTTGGGAGCAATGTCTACGTCTCTGTAGTTGTTTCGTTGTGAGCGGTTTTGACCTGCCGAAAAAAAAGTACTGTGGGCCGAAACTACTGTCGTCGAGTCCTGGAAGCGAAAGTTATGTCTATAGATACTTGGGAGTTTGCTGATTAGTGTGTAACTCAGATAGCACACAGAATCTAGCCAGATTTATTTAGTACGCTCTGGCCAAATGTTTAAGATTGAATTATGCACCATCTGGTGGTTGACACGTACAAACATTAACAGATCACATATTGTACGGTTATTGGGATAGACATAACTAAGGAACCCAAACTGTTGTTAGGAACTGTTGCTCACATTATTTTAAAACCTTTCTAGTATTATCCTCTTGGGTATCATGGCCACATTTCTCATTAAACAACAACAACAAAGGCAAATGAAATATTTCGGCAGTAGTTTGAAAACATAACACACTTTTAAAACAAATATTGGAAGGTAAAGTTAACACGTCAGCAAAATACAGACAGTGATATAAGTGGGAAGACAGCATAAATATATGAGCCATGAGCGGTCTGAAAAATGTGTATACTTAGGACAAACTACTGATCTTATTGGAGATTCCCTGCAATTAAATTTCTTTCTGAAGATGTCACCTGATTGATTGAACACACTTTCTTATTTCTCCCAAGATGAACAGTCTCCCTGGAATGCTCGCATTGACCTTATCATGAGCTACCGTATGGATGCTGATATCTTTGTCCCATACTCTCATCTTTTGTTTAGACCCAAACCACTGGAACAAAGACCGGATTACTGTAAGCTCTTGTCGTTTGTGTTTTTGTGTCTGTTGTATGCTGACTACACTGTAGTCCCCTCTAAAGAAGCAAAGAAGCGTTTGGCCCAGTGATTAGAGCGCTGGGTCCTCAGGCGGCGGTGTTTAGGTGCTACCATCGGTAAGGAGGCTGATATTTTATTGTCTGTCAGGAACCCAAGAATATACATATATATATATATAAATATTCAAGCTAGATGACATTAGCGACTAGACTAGCCACTGGGCCCTATCTACGTTAAGTGACGCTCGTTGGTGGAAAAGTAATAGATCTACCCCACTCCCACCCTTCGTGTACTGACTGGATGAGTAAAACAGATTTTCGCGCAATATTTACATACCGGAATCAGACTAACATCCAGATGTTGTCGAACAACTCTAAATTTCCGCCTGAGTTTTCAGCTGGTGAACGCCAAGGAGAAGAAGGAGGAAAAGGACAGAATTAGGATCTCAAATCCCATCCAGTCTTTAAAAATATTTAGGTGTTTGTGCTATGTAAAACGTCGTGGTGGTCTAGAGATGGAGGAAACACTTTCTAGAAGAAGAAGCAGACGCCGGCCTTCGCAAATGTGGATGCATGACATTGAAGATGCATTTTCTAATGAAAGCACATAGGAAGCCATCTTCAATTAATGCAGCACCTGCTAGTCTATCAGCTCTCTCATTACCAACAACACCTGCATACCATGGGACAAATATGAAAGTAACTGCACACACATGAGCATTTTGCAAAGACTTAAGCCACTGTCAGCGTAACCATCCTGCCTCGACCCGCTGGATCATGCCCAAAGAATCACTCAGCACACACACACGGGAATAGTCTTGTGATCCCAGCCACATAAAAGCCTGTGTCACTGCCATCACCTCCATCGTCATGCTGGTGGTGGTCATAGAGAAGGCACCGTTGGCTTTCTGAACTGTTCTGCATAAAGAACGAGCTGTGAATACCCATGCACTCTTATATCCTCGTATAGCGGACCCGTCTGTGAAGATCACCACATCTGTCTCATCTGACTTGTATGATGTCATCCTCTGCCCTACCCAGCCATGATTTGAAATTTTTAAGCCTATTGCGCTTTTTCTTAAAGAGCATGTGGTGCAAAGGGGGCTTCAGATCTGAGCTTATCTTGAGGTAGCACGAGCCCTCCAGATCTTGATCCTGCAGTTCATGGTAGGGAAGTCAAGAAGGTAGCTAATTGCTATACAAGAGGTGTCTCCGGTGCACCTGACAAGAATATCGTGATGAGCTGCAAAGTGATTTTCTCATAGCTGCGTTAAGGATGTAGGTTTATGCTCTTTTAAGAGCGTTACAATTTTATTAACGATTCCAAAATTTTACTTAATATTAGTAAATCTACCAGAAACTCATAACTGTTATTGATTTTTGCAGAATCTATCCATTTTTGAAATGTTGTTTGAACCTCAGACATAAAGTCAACAAATGTCTGACTTGCCTTTGGTTTAAGTCCTACGAGCAGAAATCTTTACCCGCATCTTGTAAATCGTAATGACGCATTATTCTCTCCCTTATGTAATCAAAACCCAACAGTAGATGTTCCTGTACCGTTTCGAGAACTTTAAAGAGTTCAACACCGATTTCAGCATTTTATGAAACTAAACCTGTAACAGATAATCTCTCAATCAACTACCGCACGTCTCCAAATAATAGTCGACTAGGGCTGACTAAAGTTTCACATTTACTAGCACAAACACATAAACGACGAGAATAAGTCTACCAGTTCTAAATCAACGTTGCAGCCTGACACTTACGGCACCCATGCAGAGTTCACGTGCTCCCACTGTGAGCATACAATAACAGCCATGATATATACACGTTTGGCACAACTGTTAGTCAGCAGGATATATATGTTGTCCATCCCTCCGTTGTTCTTCAACGTGTCTCAATTGCAGTCGAACCACAACGTTCATCCCTCCACGCTTTGGATCCGCTTTTACTCATCGTTCTATACTGTAAAAAAAAAAAAAACCCAATAGTTATCCGATAGAGCGTTTATCTTAGTTTGTAAATAAAATATCGTACTCGGATATGACTCAAATGTTGTTTACCATGTCCAGTGGACTTGTCTGCGTGAATTACGTGAATTACGTAGGTTATTGTATTCGTTACAAACGCAGTGGTCAATTGTGTTTCAGACCATATTTGTGAGCAAAGCTAATGATGCGCGCACGAGAAAACAACACAACTTGCGGTGAACACTATTCACTCCCTGCGCAATTGAAACCCTATACAAGGATAAAGCAACACCAAAACAATCAGTTTATTTTCAAGCAGTCACGAATGGCTCCTCTATCAATAAATTAAAGAAATTTTGCTATTGGCCGATTTCAGGCAGGAAAAAGTCAAATTCAGGTTGCCAGGCATCTAAACGTGCATCAGCGTACCATCAGTCGACTTTGGCACCGATTCCAAGCCACTGGCTTAGTTAAAGACCGACATCGCAGTGGACAACCCAGAGTGACAAAAGCAGCGGAGAATCTCTTTATTCGGCTTTGTCACCTCAGAGACAGGTTTACAACAGCTTCCTCAATTGCACAGGCATAGCCTCTAAGACGGCATGTTTCTGATCAAACTGTTCAGGAACAGACTGAATGATGTTGGACTTTGGGCTCAACGACCACACCGAGGACCTGTCCTTACTCGTCGCCACTGCTAAAATCGACTTCTATGGGCCAACTAACATCTTCCTTGGACAAATGACAATCAGTGGAGATTTGTCTGGTTTAGTGACGAATCTATCTTTTTGTTGCAGCGTCATGATAGTCGGCATAGGGTGTCTACCGTAGACGAAACGAAGGTTTAGCCCAAAATTGTGTTGATGAAGCTCTGCTGCACGGTGGTGGAGGTGTAATGGTATTGGGTAATGATCATTGATAGGAGAAGAAAACAATTCGTGCACAGTACAGGAAACTTGAATTCTTCGAGCACATGTCCTTCCATTTTGGGATGCCAACATATATCTTTTTCAACAGAACAACGCAGACCATATTCTGCACAGCCGACCACGCAGTTCCTGGCTGCCAATAACATTAAAAACCTTTCTCTGGCTATCCCTGTCTGCAGAGATGAGTCCGATTGAACACCTGTGGGATGAGCTGCAAAGACGACTTTGTCACCGAAACGTTTCTCCAGTCAATGGCCTTGATCTGTTCCAGGCACTCCCGGAAGAGTGGGCAGCCATCCCACAAGGCCCTCATCAGGCATCTGATTGCATCCATGCTCAGGAGATGCCAGTCACTGATTCAGGCAAAAGAAGCCCACACACCTTACTAATGGGAACGCCAACGCTTAAAAACTAACCTGACCCAGATGCAAATGAAAAATATTGTGATTTGGTAGGGAACCCTAGGTATTTGGGGGGGGGGGGGGGGGCCGGGGGGGGGGGGGGGAGGGGGGTTTGAATAATTTAACTTTCTGCATTACAAAGATGCAAAATGTGAAAATGGTGAGTATGTTTGTTCCTTTCAGTAACTATGCTTTTTTTTTTTTACAGTAGTTCCCCTGTAACTTCCTCTCGCAGTGGTGTCCTGTTACAGAATGACTCGCTGGTCAGCTCTTTCCGTTACCTCTCGATTTTTATGTTGTCTAGTATGTTCTTCTATCTTTCTACTTCTTTCTATGAGTGCCGTTCACAATACTTTCTGTTACTTGATTAATTCATAATATTTAACGGCCCCAAATGGTTCCCCTCTCTGTTTATTTAGAGAAATGATGTATACACACCGGAACCTACCAATCCAATACCTTTCTTAAATGTTTGCGTATTCTAGACAAGGCAATAAGGTCTACTGTGTTCGTAAATTGTTGCTGTGATTGCTATTCGACATTTGCTTCGTTAATATAAATTTCTGTAACCTATGGTGCCATTTCAATGGGTTGAAATGAATTCTGTCCGTATTCCATAGTCGTGGATTTGAAGCTGTACGATAGACATGGCCAATGAGACACCTTTTTTTGGGGTGCCGTGTTGACCATGTATCTTAGTGCACTTGTATTCATGGCGAGGCGCAGACGTCGTCTGGAGGTGACAGGTTCAATTTCCGGCACGGTAACTATAGCTTTCGATTTTTATGTTGTCTAGTGTGTTCTTCTATCTTTCTACTTCTTTCTATGAGTGCCGTTAACAATACTTTCTGTTACTTGATTAATTCATAATATTTAACGGCCTCAAATGGTTCCCCTCTCTGTTTATTTATAGAAATGATGTATACACACCGGAACCTACCAATCAAATACCTTTCTTAAATGTTTGCGTATTCTAGACAAGGCAATAAGGTCTACTGTGTTCGTAAATTGTTTCTGTGATTGTTATTCGACATTTGCTTCGTTAATATAAATTTCTGTAACCTATGGTGCCATTTCAATGGGTTGAAATGAATTATGTCCGTATTCCATAGTCGTGGATTTCAAGCTGTACGATAGACATGGCCAGTGAGACACCTTTTTTGGGGGTGCCGAGTTGACCATGTATCTTAGTGCACTTGTATTCATTGCGAGGCGCAGACGCCGTCTGGAGGTGACAGGTTCAATTTCCGGGACAGTAACTATAGCTTTCGATTTTTATGTTGTCTAGTGTGTTCTTCTATCTTTCTACTTCTTTCTATGAGTGCCGTTCACAATACTTTCTGTTACTTGAGTAATTTCCGTTACCTCGTGATCTTTATCAATTCACACAATCTCCTATTTGGCCATTTTTGCATCGACTTCACGTCTTCGACCTGTAATTCCCCCCCCCCCCCCCAACCCATTCTACCAACTAATCCAACGCCTTCAATTACTCCTATATTAGCATCACTACAAGTCTGGTTTGACTATAGCATTTGTTGTACTGACAAATCTAACGTGTTCCCACAGATAAGATCGCCCAGAGCAAGACAAAGACAGCTGTGTGGATGGTTAGTAGATGTTCGACGCCTAACAGGAGAATGGAGTACGTCAAGGAGATGCAGGTAGGTTAGTCAAGTTAACGTCACTATTCACGCCATCAAGCATGGGAAATATAGTACTGGTAAATAAAGGTACCCTTTATACGCAGGTTGTGATTATGATCTAGTCTCATATGTTGTCAGTCTCAGAAAATTCCCGTGGATGACATGTTGCAACAGTAATGACAACAAGCTTACTATTATACTATATATCCAGGTAGTGATATCTTTCTGATTCAGTGAGTCGTACCTGAGGGTTATACTGCACCTTTTCCCGATCTAATCATGCTGAATTTTACTTGGAGGAGACTAAAAGAGAGAAGCCTGATTACAAATGTTCTAAAACAAAGAGTCTTACGTCAAATCTTAGGACCCATCAAAGATGCAAACAGCGAGGAATGGAGACTAAGAAGCAACAACGAAATTCGTAATCTGTTTAAACCACCGTTGATCACTGGCATCATAAGGGATAATAGACATAAATGGCTATAGAAATACTGAGATAATGTTAGATATTAGATATGTTAAAAAAAAACTTTATACAAGGAAGCTGAATTGTTGTAGATCACAAGACAAAGAAGACGACAAAGAGCTAATGTCCAGACAGACCTGCAAACACTTAGTATCACCAATTAGAAAGAGTAATCCAACTAGCGAGATAAAAGAAGGCGGGTGATATCTGCAGCATGGAAACTCAATGCTAGGAATGTTAAGGAAGAAGAACAAGAAAAAGCAGAAGAAGAAAAATGAAAATTTAGCTCTATGATTCAGCCTTCACAAAAAGTTTAAAAAAAATTAATTTCAAGCCTATTTAAAGGTTTAAAATTCTTCAAAATCAATCAGTTTGTGTTATTAAAAATTTCAGTATTTTGTATAAGCAAAATGAAAAGTTAATACTATTCACTGCTTCAACAGCTTTTTTTGAAAAGTAGCATGTGAAAAGTACTTCGAATCTGTGAGCTGTTTTCAAAATATACGCTTTTCAAGTGTGACACCTCTCTTTTCCCAAAGAGTTCAGTGGCATTTTAAAGAAAGTAGACTGTTTTAATTTTTTTTACAATTTTTGTTTGTTTGTTTGTTGAAGAGGAAGAAGAAAAAGAAGAAGAAGAAGAAGAAGAAGAAGAAGAAGAAGAAGAAGAAGAAGAAAGAAGAAAAAGAAGAAAAAAACAAAGAAGAAGAAGAAGAAGAAGAAGAAGAAGAAGAAGAAGAAGAAGAAGAAGAAGAAGAAGAAGAAGAAGAAGAAGAAGAAGAAGAAGAAGAAGAAGAAGAAGAAGAAGAAGAAAGAAGAAGAAGAAGAAGAAGAAGAAGAAAAAGTAGAAGAAGAAGAAGAAAGAAAAAGAAGAAGAAGAAGAAGAAGAAGAAGAAGAAGAAGAAGAAGAAGAAGAAGAAGAAGAAGAAGAAGAAGAAGAAGAAGAAAGAAGAAGAAGAAGAAGAAGAAGAAGAAGAAGAAGAAGAAGAAGAAGAGAAAAAGAAGAAGAAGAAGAAGAAGAAGAAAGAAGAAGAAGAAGAAGAAGAAGAAGAAGAAAGAAGAAGAAGAAGAAGAAGAAGAAAAGAGAAAAAGACAAAGAAGAAGAAGAAGAAGAGAAGAAGAAGAAGAGAAGAAGGAAAGAAGAAGAAGAAGAAGAAGAAGAGAAGAAGAAGAAGAAGAAGAAGAAGAAGAAGAAGAAGATATAAGAAGAAGAAGAAGAAGAAGAAGTTTGTTTGTAACGATTCTTTCCACGTTGGTTCTCAGCTGACCGTTTTATTTCTTTGTCGTGACCTCGTCTTTCACATGAATACTTTTTTTTTAATGACTGTTTCACACCCCTTTATATAATTTTTTTTAAAATTTCAGTCAATTAAGTGCAGTGGACCGCCAACATACTGTCTTTCACCATGTTCGCCCATCTCTAAATGCTATCCTTCCTCTGGTATCACTGTCTGACTATTTCTAGCTCGCCTTTATATTAATCTCTAATATAGATGTTTTATGATTATGATCAGAATGTCTTCTAATATGGTCAACGTATTCTGCTTCGGTTTCTCCCGCAGCAACTGCCTATTTATCCTATTGTTTTCAGAACCTCTATTTTGCTTTCGTAAAAGGCGACCTACTCTTATCTGTATATCTGTCTACGACAAAAAGGTTGACAAGATATAATAATTGCTGTGCAAGATCGTTGTTCCATGTGAAACGATTTAGACATTCGCCATCGTTCGTCAACTGGAACAGACCTCCGGTGCCCACAATCAATATCTGCCACCCCGCCATTGAAAGTCTGCTAACAATCAGTACTCCTTCCCAGCGCCGCTCATCAGCGAGAAAAAAATCTTTGACATCAACAATTAACACCCACTACAGCTAACCAACAACAACTCCCCCTCCCCTCTAGTGAAGGTAGCCATATTGGAGAATCACGCTATCTTATCCTAGCCTGTCATCTTGTATGAGCTGGTTATATTCGGGAACTCCGCCATATTGTTGGCGCCCGCTATATTGGTGGAGCCTGCAATCTTTTGGACCGGTCAAATCGGGGTATCTACCATCTTAGAAAAGCTCGCCATTTTTGTCGAGCCCACCATTTTTGGTGGAGCCCGCTGTCATGGTGGAGTCTAGCATCATATTCTTTGTCCCCGGCCACTGACTACCAATGGTATTCATAAACCCGCCTTAAAACGCCGAGCTGTTTCTTTAAACTTCACCTACATATGCATTTGTATTTCCTCCTCCACAAAATTCTAACACCATATACTTTAAACACCAACACTGACCACTACTGACTATTCAGAACTCTTAACTAACTGAAACACTTCGCAATCTTGGAACCTCCCGCTCCTACTACATTTACATTATTCCTGGCGGTACCTCCCAATCCCGTTGAGTAATATAAGGTTGCATACTACTTGTGAACAACGTTTTATACAACTCATATAGTATTAGACCAATACATTTATAGACCAAACCAGAACTAAATAGGGAGACAGGACCAGAAGACGATTCAGGAGACAACGCTCAATCGGCAACACTCACAAGACTAAAAGAACTTCAGGTTAGAAGAGGTGTTGCCAAGGATGAACACTATGCCAGCAGACGAGATAGAATAGTAGACCAACACAGAACTGGTGCTGTCCGTCGCAATACTTTTGGGGTAGGGTGGAAGTGTGGAAGGGGGGGGAGGTATGCTGAAGATGGGATCCAAGCTCTGGATGGACTTGTCCGATGAGCAGAGAATAATCTGTCGATTAACTAACTTTATAAGCTGGATCTAGCCAAAAGGTTAACTTTAAAGTAAAAAAAAAAAAAAAACGCCTTTTCACGGAATTTAAGCTTAGACATTTGGGCTGCCTTGCTAGGATCCTTTTTACAAGCTCAGTTGACTAGCCGTAAGGCCAGTTGTTGCTCGTGATAAAACTATATTTATTATCATTACGTTAAGAGGTAATAAACTAATACAATCAACATAACCTATGATCATTTAAATGCTCTTGTCCTTTGTCACACGTATGGCTATGTCATCCACGGATGCATCTCTTTGCCTTCCCCATCCACGAGGCTGTGTATCCAAGAGCTGATCTCTTTGCCTTCCTCATCCATGCCTCTGTGTCATCCATATATGTATTTCTTTGCCTTCCCCATCTACGCGGATAAATCATTCTGCGATTTCTCTTTTTGCCTCTCCCATCCTTGTGGCTATGACATCCAGAAATTAATCTTCTTGCCCTCTCCATCAAAATGGCTATGTCATCCAGTGATGTATCTCTTTGTTTTCCTTGTGGTTGATCAATCTGACCACCTGACACTAAATTCTTGGAGGCAATCGTTTGGCAAAATTTGTCAAAACCATATAATTACTACATGTGCAGAGTAAAGATTTTAGATGGTAAACATATATTTTTCTATACATTCTCCAGAAATACATCGACGTTGATATATTTGGAGGATGTGGACATCCCTGCCCTAGGTCCAGCTCCAACTGCAACAACTGGACGACCACATATAAATTCTACCTCTCCTTCGAGAACTCTCATTGCAAGGATTATGTCACCGAGAAATTCTTCAAGTTATTTCAGCAAAACGTCCATGTGATTCCTGTTGTGAGAGGCGGCGCTGATTACCACAAATACTTCCCTGAGTTTACTTTCATCAACACTGCTGACTTTAAGACGGCGAAACATTTGGCTCTTCATTTAAAACATTTGGCCTCTGATCTACAAATATACACCAAGTACTTGGAATATAAGGACTTTTACGTGTATACCGGACGTATCGATCATTTATGTAAATTTTGCTCGTTCTTGCACATCCGCAAGTTACCTGCTTCAAAAGCGTACAATTTGAAAAGATGGGTTGATGACAACCATTGTTACAATCTTACAGATATCTAACACTGCATAATAATCTTTTTTTTCTAAGATACATTAACAAAACTGTAAATAAAAGGTGGCACTTTGGAGGGGCAGCATGTTCAATTCTCAATTTTGTTTTTCAAAATAAAATGGCACGCCAGCACATATTACAAACAGCGATACAATTGGTAAATCAAAGAAGACAGATGTGTCTTCAGGTATAAAATGGAGTGCTAGGCACGGCACATTGGTAGGCTTCGAAGTTCTTTGCTTCCAACAGCGCTTTTCTATAGCAGTTTCCACATACGGGTGGTAGTCTACAGTTTCGCGGCCTGAGCTACTGAATTTAGTGCTTGTGCAGCCTTTTGAGCTGTGTTTGTTTCATGTGGAATGCATTTCATAAGTGAAACGGTTGAGACATTGAATTGGTTGCCGGTTGACATGTAGGCTGATGAAATGCCTTATGTAATAATTCTACGTGAGTAAAGTCAAAGTGTAGGGTATATACTTTACAACACAATGTCTGACACTGAAGGATGTATGCAGTGAGAGGAGAAGAAATGGGGTGGCAATGAGGCGAGTGCTAACACAGACTGCACTGAAGTAGTCCAGTTTAGCGGTGAAAGCATTTAAGATTGACTCGAAAGTCTTTTCAGATACAAAGGCAGTGGTCACGGAAACATAGAAGAGACGCACATTTATTAGTACGTGGCATTATTGTTTCTGTTAGTTGAAGCGAGGTCAACTGACCAGAGATGAGAAGGAACAAGCTGACGATGTTGCAGATTACCCACGATTTCAGAAGAAAGGATATAACAAGAAATGAGACTGTGCCAAGGGACAGACGGGAGGAGAAGGAGAACAACTAGATGACCAGAGGACCAGGGTGTTGAGCCCAGAGGTCGAGAATAGGAACTGAAATTTGTGAATATAGGAGTTTAGCAAAACAGAAAGCAAATATCACACCTTTTAGGAGCAACTAAAAGAGAATACAGCACAAACTTCGTTAAAAGAAAGATAGTTGAACTTCGTGTTAGAAGAGATGTTAACAAAGATTCGACAACGGTCAATATCCTGTTAGAGTACGAAACATACGTTACAGCAACTTATACTGAGGTGTTCGCTGTAAGTGAATTAAATGAAGTTGTCGTCGCATATGAATTGGCGTTGTGCTTTATAAAAAACAAATTTGTTTTCATTTGATTTTTGTGCGTGAGGCTGATCACTGGCTGTGCCGTCAGGCACAACAGACATACAAAGACTATCTAGCTCTGCCAGGCATGCTTATGCAACATGCTTTGATTCAAATGCAACGTTGTATGGAAAATTGAAAACAATTGGTTCAGTAGTGTTTGAGTCTATATTTAACAAACTCGGAAAATTGACACTTTTATTAATATAGATTCACAAAATGCCATAAATAATACATTTAATCTATTCTCCAACCCCTTAAGTTCAAAAATTTAGAAAAGATAAATGCGTAACTAAATGAATAGTTAGTTAATTGTTGAAAAAAAAGGTAATCAGAGATGGATAAATAATAAGATAGTAAGATCAACATCATCAATCATTTGGCCCTTCACAGAACGTTGCTCTCTCCACTGCATGCCTGAAGATATATATCTAGCCAATTCTACAACCCTGTGTGCTTTCATAACTGATGCCCTTTTTATGTATCGCTGTTCTGCCTAGTTTTTATCTACTGTACCCTTTCTCCATCACCGTTCTGTCCAGGCTTCAGTGAAGTTTATTGTAATGATGTATGTTTCAGATAAAGGAGTTTTACCTTAGGGAAGATAAACATCGGCTTAGCATAAGTTGTGGGAGCCGCTGCTATGGTGTAGAGGCTAGACACTTACCTGCTGATCATAAGGTCGTGGGTTCGTGTCCTGACGTTTGTCAAAAATGACCTTGGCTCCCAAGTCGTTCAAATCCTAAATGTGTACCAGGGGGAGTCCTGGGAAGTAAAGACAGCCGGCGTGATGCTGGATAGATAACCCAAGTGTCAATACGCATGAAAGCTTGGAAAAGGGTCCCCTAGACTCAGCTGCAAAGTTTAGCACAGCGTAAGCCAGGACGGATTACCAACAAACGAACGAACCAGCGAAACAAATGTTATTTTCTAAGGGTTACAAATTGGGCACGCAGGCCCGTATTACATTCAGCACTTCTATGCACTCTTTTTTAGGCTACAATTGTATGTTATCAGTAATACATGTTATGTTAATATAAAAATATACATAATGAAATGATGTTTAAATACGTCATATACACACAGTCATACACACTCCAAATATGCACATACACATACATTCTTACATGCCCATAAGTATACAGACTCAAGCACATCCATACATATACATAAGACACATACAAGCATCCACACTGATTCGTACATATACGCACCTAAACTTAGATATTCGCGGGCTTGGCATAATTGTTTTTAAAAATACAAGGATAGCTGAGCAGTGTTAGAATGATGCATCAAACTGAACGCACCAGGGTTAAAGTTCAAAAACAAATTGTTGGGCTGGTCGACTTTCCTGAAGGTTAAGGGTGTGTCCCGCTCTTCTGTTTGCTTTCTGCGTTGTCTTGCAAATACGTTTCTTTTCTGAGAAAGAGAATGCCTGTGACATAGGTTGCAACACTCTCAAGGGCGTTGTGTTAGGGCCAGTTTCTCCATGTTTTTGGAGTGTTAACAGCGATATTACTGGCATTGCGGAACACCCCTTTGACCTTGTAACAGGTTAAGGAACTACCAATCAAAAGTGAGCCAGTGTATATGGGCGGTGCGCGGGGAGACTATCGTTACGTGTACCACATTTTGTTGTGAAGCTGTGTGTTTCTGTAGGTTTCTTGTTGCACCTTACGTAGTTTTCTCACTGTTGCTGCTTATTGCAACAACCAAAATCTCAACTCTCTGCAACACCCTGTTTTAACAGCCTTAGGAGAATCACTGCACTTAAGCTGACAATAGAGACGCAATCTGGCCCTTTTCCAACCACAATGAAGACAAAGCTGTATGGTACACGAGAGGATATGGACTGGACTATAGATTTTATAAAGGCTACTGGCCTCCTGATTTAAGTTTTCTAACAGAAGGAACAAAGAAGAAGAAGAAGACTGCACTTAAGATGGCCAAACTACCTCAGCCGCCAGGACAGGATGATGTTTATGAGCTAATTCTTATCGATGTGCAGACTGTTGGTGTTTTTGCTTCTGTTTAAAGTATCTAAGAATATAACGACTACATGGCGGAGCATCTCAACCGTCAGCAGTCTTTCAGATTGCCAGGGTAAGTGAGTACACTGTTCTGTAGTCAGATTGCCAGGGTAAGTGAGTACACTGTTCTGTAGTCAGATTGCCAGGGTAAGTGAGTACACTGTTCTGTAGTCAGATTGCCAGGGTAAGTGACTACACTGTTCTGTAGTCAGATTGCCAGGGTAAGTGAGTACACTGTTCTGTAGTCAGATTGCCAGGGTAAGTGAGTACACTGTTCTGTAGTCAGATTGACAGGGTAAGTGAGTACACTGTTCTGTAGTCAGATTGCCAGGGTAAGTGAGTACACTGTTCGGTAGTCAGATTGCCAGGGTAAGTGAGTACACTGTTCTGTAGTCAGATTGCCAGGGTAAGTGAGTACACTGTTCGGTAGTCAGATTGCCAGGGTAAGTGAGTACACTGTTCGGTAGTCAGATTGCCAGGGTAAGTGAGTACACTGTTTTGTAGTCAGATTGCCAGGGTAAGTGAGTACACTGTTCTGTAGTCAGATTGCCAGGGTAAGTGAGTACACTGTTCGGTAGTCAGATTGCCAGGGTAAGTGAGTACACTGTAGTCAGATTGCCAGGGTAAGTGAGTACACTGTTCTGTAGTCAGATTGCCAGGGTAAGTGAGTACACTGTTCTGTAGTCAGATTGACAAATGCAGACATTGTAAACTAGAATAAAGATACCGATCTAAAACAATGTTTTTACCCTACCATCAACATCAGTTGCCTTGCCGACTGGGGTGGGCGATCATGCCTCTCACATTCTGCGATCTTCTGCAGCATGTATTAGATTGTGTGCTGACATACCTTTATGCCACGCAACAAGACTGTCAAGAATCTTCTCTCGTTGTCTTCCTCTACCCCTCCTTCTACACATCTTTCCGGTGGTCACAACATGTTCCATTTTCCCTCTTTTCATTACATGGCTGAAAAAATGATGACTGTCTCCTTCTGATGTCTGTGATTAGTTGTCTTCGGGCTCCCGCCTCCTTCAAAACCTCTTGGCTGCTCTTTTTTGGTTGTCCAAAGTATTTTGAGCATTGTTCTGTAAAACCACATCTCTGAGGCCTTAAGAAAATTTTTGGCCTGCCTACCGATTTCCAGGACTCACAGCCATATGTTAAAACTGGATGTATGTCACAAGCAAAAATGTCTTTTTCTAACCCTCAATGACAAAGATATATTGCATAAGATGTTCTTTATTTTATCAAATGCAGTTTTCGCCCGTCCTATTCTGTTTCTTATCTCATTTATGCATCTTCCGTCTGATATTATCCATGTGCCCAGATGTTTACAGCTGAGGAATTTCAACGAGCAGGTGGCTCCGCACAAGCTGGTGTATAACGACGACTGTGGCAGCTACTATGTCAAATTCAATCAGGAAGAGCTCGACAAGACAGACAAAACACCAGAAGAATTAGAAAGGTACGATAAAGCTGGCAACTTCCATCGCGTAATCAACAGAGCCGCAAACCAGCTCCGGGCGCCAAACAAAAAGCAGTGAAAAAACGGCACACCGAATAGAAGAGGCAACCGCCAATTCTAAGAGCCACAGAAAGAGCCCACCAAACAAGCCGCCATCTTTACGGACAGCCCAAAACAAACAACCGCCTACCGGACAGACAGTCGCCGTACCGGAGCCACACCCACCCGCTCCGCCCCACTGGCAAATAACCACGTAATTACCATAGAGCTAACCAAAATCTTAACCTAGTTTATTTTCAGAAAAAAAAAAAGACAACGGAAAATACCACAGGCCACCCGACGCTCCGAA